ATGGAATTTAAATAATTATATAAATTTTAGATGGCAGAATAACTGATCCTTCCCTGCCATTCAGCTTTTCTCTAGTAAGTAAATTAACTAGCACTAATTAAATGACAATGACCTTATGATCCACGTCCTAATAACAGTCTGATGCTTTGTTGCTGAGAATTATAATTTATATGAGTATTTTTTTTCCCTTACGGCAAATAACACACACACACAAACTAATAAATACACACGCACAAGCAGTTAACGAAAGAACGACCCGAAAGCAATTTAAGGGGACCCACAAAGAACCCACAAACTAATAGTATATGAGTAGGATGATACTGATTTAATTAGATTGGGACCTGTTTTTTTTTTTAATTTTGTAGGAAACTTAATAGGTTGTACTCAACTAGAGCGGAGGAGATGGTCTAGGAAGCTTGGGACCTGTATTTAACTTTAGAACTTGCAACTTCGGGCAACTCCTTAAATATGATTTGGCAGGTAATCAATTAACTTGTGCGGCCGTGTCAGGCGTTTGACAAACTTCTCCTAGGCACCAGGGTGCCTAATTAAACGCAGTTAATATTGGATTATGTGTTTGAAACAGCTTTTCGGTTGAAACTATGTGGTTAGTTAGGTTGAAGTACTTAATTTGATGAAGTTCAAGTCTAGTGCCTTCTAAGATTTTTACATACAGCACAGCTCTAGATAAATACTGGACTCTCGTATAGGCTCTTAGGCTAGTACCTATCTCGATCGTTTCCTACGACATTTCCTTTCTTTACATGTCCTAACAATCAGAAAATAGAACTAATGAAGTTTTGCTTCTTTATTTTGTGGATTAAATGCTGTCTAATTAGTACAACAGCAATTAGAACACTAATTTCCCTGTTTGGATTGCGATTTTTCTCAGAAAAATTACTACATTTTCCGTGAACACATTTCTCTATCACTTTTTTACCTCACATATATCAAATCGCTACAGTAATTTTTTTTGGGAAAATTTCATTTGGACAAATGAATAGATCGGAAAAGTTATGTGCCATGGCTATTATATTGGCATACTCGATGAAAAAGAATATGGCACAAATTGCACTCTAGTTACTGTACGTGCCAAGCGCCGGTAAAAAACTTTAACATGTGGGCATCTATAATAATAACTGAGCCATTATCTGCATAACGGTCGCTGAGAGGAAAATTAACAAAAACGTGCATGGTTAATGAACTATAATCCCAAGTATAGACATCAAGCAATGAAAACCATCGATTTAGCCTCTATTTGGTAGTATATCGTACGATAGGGGGAAGAAAAACCGAACGAAAAGATGCTAGAAAATCTCACATGATGAAATGCCGCATTCAGGAATTTAGGAATCAAGAATATAGAAGGCTCCCAATGAAGCCATGAACAGGGAAGTAGCTTTACGATGAGCTCCTTGTTCCAATTTCCTTGTGCTTGTTCAAGCGTCTGCCGGGCTTTTTTTTTTTTTGACTTTTTGCAGCTGCTGGCGGGCTGTGTCAACCGGCAGCACTGACACAATTGGCTGCCGGGCTGACGCAACTTTTTGCTTTTACTAATAGTTTAATATCACACCATTGTCAGATCCGTAAATGTCCGAATTTTTTTTTTTCAATATTCTGAGTAATTAGCTCAAGATAACCAATGGATTGGGGCCATCACTAGGGTAACTAAACAAAGTGCGCCGGATAAAGATTGCAATTATGTTCAGGAAAATGTCATGAACTACAATTGTCAAGGCTCAAAAGAAAATGGAGGAATCAAAGGATATGATGAGTGTACGTGTTAGTATTTTGTTAAGACAATCTAAAGTCTTTACTTATCTACCTTTTGTCTATGGGTAATGATTTTAGATTTTGGTTGGTTATAACTTCTTCGTCTTTTTAAACCCTTCATTCTTCCTATTCTCAAATTATAACTCCAAAATTTGAATCATAAACCTAACAATAATGGCGAGAACTCTAAGAACCCTTCTCTAACCACAAAAATCAATTTCAGTGATTGATCGATTATACAACCTTATATTTAAAATGACTATATTTTCTTCTTTAGAGTCAAAGTTGGTAAAGAGGCCTTGGTTTAAAGATTAAAGTTGAAAATTGAGAATTTAAAGATCTTTAATTCTAATCCCTCTTTCCTCTTTTTACTTCTTAAATTTCAACCTTCCCCCGCTAAAAAAAATACTATAAACAAAATAAACATAATAGTATATGTGCATGTTTTTTACTCACTTATCATTCATACCAGTTCTATTGTTTGAATGCAGCAAGTTTAAAAATTGTAGTATCATTTTTTATTTGCGCATACTTAGAATGTTAAATATAAATGAGTTGACCTCAATCGAACTATTCAAGAGCTTACTTGGTTATGTTTGAACTCTAGTTCACATTAACTGAGCTTGAGTGGAATTTTAGTAGCTCGAATATAACAATGAGCTCAAGTTTGAGTCTTACATGCGAGACTCGAAAGCTCATCGAGATTAATCAAACTTAATCGAGTTTCAAAAAAAAAATATATATATATATGTATGTATATATGTATTAATGTGAGATTTCATCCTTTGTCTAAACTTATATCATATATTGATTTATATCATAATTGGGCTTGTTTGAGCTTTGATTAAGTTAGATCTGATGTAACTCAAACTCAAGTTCAAGTGAAATAAATTGAATTGGCCAAAAAAAAGGATAAATTAAATTAACCTTGACTAAGGTAAATTAACTCAAATTCAAAATCGACTCGGCTCGATTGTAGTTCCACTTAATGCCTTATCCAGTCCCACCCTTCCTTACCCATTTGGCATCTTTAAACTCAAAACCCCTTTTGACAAGTGATAATGCCACGGGCCCACAACCCATATTTTACTTTCACAGTCATTCTTCATAAAATCCATATCTATGTAAGAATTGTAATTCTCACTGAATGCCTTATCCAGTCCCATCCTACCTAACCCATTTGGCATCTCTAAACTCAAACCCCTCACGACTAGGGATGTAATTGAACTGAACTCTTCGTGAGCAGCTCGCAAGTAGTTTGGTCAAAAGCTTGACTAGCACTCAGTTTTTATTGAGTACGAGTAGCTTAATAATTATTCAAGTTAAATTTGAGTATTGTTTTTTCAAGTGCGGTGGCTCATCGAGCCTTATTGAGCAGAAAGTAATTAATTAAAAATTACATATTTGGTTATTAGAATTTTACCCTTTTAGGCTTGAGAGTTGTATAAATTACCAGAATTACTCTTTTAGTCGAGTCAAGTACTCGAACTTAATCATACTCACAAGAAAATCGAGCATAATCAGGTCGATCTCAAGTTTTTGAATCATTTTTCGAATTTGAGTTCGAACTCCATTTCTGTTGCCTGCTCGAGCTCGAGCAATACCTCTCTATTGTCGAGTCAATCTCGAACTCGAGTATAGCAATACCAACGTTCGACTCGATTTGATTACATTTCCACTCATGACAAGTGATAATGCCACAGACCTACGGCCCATATTTTACTCATCAAAGTCATTCTTGGTCATAAAATCTTATATCTAACATATCTAAAAGGGGGAACGCCCATTTGCTACAGTCCATCCATGGCCCGGTTTCGGCCGTAATTCTCGTGACTTCGTGGCCTATTTTGGTCTTTCCACCGTATATGTCTTGCAATAGTTTGTTGCTTGTTTTCTCCTTCTATATTCCTTGTGCTATTAGAATCACGAAATAATATATTATATATTATAATTATTATAATGGCCAACAAAGATATTGCGCTTTAATGACCCTGTACCGTGCCTTTGTCATCTGTCTTGCCGCTGCAGCCTTCAGTGTTTCCATCTTCCCAACTTTGTGCTCCATCCATGCAATCCACATATATACAAGTAGAACCTATTGACTCTATTGCCCTTGTCGAATATTAAGTTGACTACTCCTCTTGTAATATTCATCTTTATTATATAACTTTAGTGTGCCTATTTAGATCTTTGCCCTTATGGTACATTTGTGCATGTGTGTATTTCACGGACCCTTCCCTCAATTGTCTAACTTTGTACAACAATCTCAATTGCTGATTCCTTGCACACCCTTTCATGTTGCTCATTAATTACTGATAGTGACGGTCTATCAAGTAGCCATTTTCAGTCACTTATATTTATCCTTTTTCACCCCACTATATACGTTTTCTGTACTCTATATGTTTTCTTTTTCTATTACCGATTATCCAGTAATTTTTCTATCCCACAGTTGGCATCATGGCCTTTGAATTTTTCGCTCTAATGCTTTTTTCCTCCCGTTTATACATGTTTACTTCCACGTGCTCTTTCTTGTACCGCTCCTGTTTGCACTCCGTTTCTTTTTCCTTCTCTGAAAGCCACCCAGTCAATAGCCGTCTCTGTGTTCCTTGGTCTTCATCTTCGTTTTTGCTTCTCCACTCGCCATGACTTCCATCTTGGTGCTGTTATTCTGTTCTTTACTATATGTTTTATAGTTCTGCTACATGTTCATCTTCATCATCTTACCCATGGTTCCAGCAATGAATATTCTATCTATTGCATATTTGTCTAGGTGTTAGCCATTTACTTCTTCCTTTTACATATCATCTTTTTTTCGCCTTATAATTCTTTGTATTTTTCCTCAGGTCATCAAACAACAACGTTTTGCTAGGTGTTAAAAATCAGTAAGAGAAACCAATTTCTTTCCATTATCTTTTGCTCATCACTCAAAGCTCCGAAGCCGAACCAGTTTTCTCCCACCTTAACTGGTATGCACATGACTCTTGCCCATAACTCTTCCATCATACGTTTGCTTTTGCTGCGCAGTTCCGTTCTTAAGAATCATGCGAACGTCTTTTACTTATTATTTTTTTCCTATGCATGTAATCCTTATCTAATGTATATAATGTTTTGGTAACTTACACATGAAAACCATATAATCATGCTTCTGCTTCATATTTTTTATTATCCAATTATAGCAACTATTATTTTTATTCATTTTATCGCTTTCCTATAGTTTGTTTGTAACCATGCCGCGAAAACGAAAATATGCTTCGTATGAAGAAATGTGTCTGCACAAGAATCATCGTCGTAGGGAAGCTAGGGCGTCTATACTTGACCCAATGGTTCATACTAAAAATCCAGCTAAACTTCAAAGCAACAATATTGTATCATCGACTCCAGTATCGCTACTTTCTGAGAATCAGCTGTCTGATGCTTCAGAAAACATAAGCCTATCGCTTCCTATGCCATCCGAACATGTCCTCAAAACATCTGACATACCTTCAGCAAGTAAGACACTTCCTTTAGTCGTCCATATATACTTCATCTAACAAAACATTCAGTACACCAATTTTCTTAAAAAAATTTATATTCATGTCTTGTCTAAGAATCTTTGTCCACCAATAATGCAGCCTGTTCATATTCTAACAACCATGTCTGCTGTGATGTCATAAATGGACCAAGTAATGGAGGTATTTATACCTTTGTCACTGCTATAACTTCTCCCACTATTGAATATTTGTTTCGTGCAAATCTTCCTAAATACCTTCGTCCATCTTTTACTTTTTACATCCAGTTCAACAACAAACAGTGTTTCCTAGCTCTCAAATGACCAGCAACATGCCAAAACAAAATGCTGGTACATACGAAAACTCTATCTATTGCCTAAAATACTCAATAAATCTATCTATATCTGCGCCATCTAATTGAACAGTCTCCCATTCTTAGGTAATCAACAAAAGGTCAAAAAAAAAAACCAACGGATTGATAGGATTCCTACTCAACCTTCTGTTTTACCTGTTGTCCAAGATTGTATTTTTTGTGGTGCTAAACGTTTCTACCTTGAGTCACCTGGTTTTTGCTGTGCTTCTGGTGAAATTCGATTAGTTGAGACAGAAATGCCAGCTCAGCTAGCAAAACTGTACACTGCTAATACTCCTGAAGCAATTGAATTTCGCCAATGTATCAGAAGCTATAATAATATGTTCGCATTCACATCTCTGGGAGTTCATTCTGATAAAGAGTTGAATAAGAGAGACAGAGGAATCTATACATTCAGAGTACAGGGGCAAATGTACCATTTTCTCAATCCCCTGGTTCCAATGGACGGCTACAAGCCATCAAATGTACAGTTATACTATTTTGATACTGAGCATGAAATTGCGAATCGGATGGCCATTTCTGATAAATTCCGAGAAACTATTCTGGAACAACTGCAGCAAATTCTGGATCATAATCCCTACGCTGCATTTTTTCGCAGTTTAAGAAGCTTTGAAGACATTTATAACCATAAAGTTTTCTTAAACTCTCACCCTTCTCTAGACCAGCGTGTGTATAACACTCCCACAGTCTCTCAAGTCGCTGCCATATGGACAGAAAATGACCTTAATATAGTAGATTCTTCTCAGCATATACAGGTATATCCAAGGAGTGGTAGACCACAAATCATTAAACACTACTTTGGATGTTATGACACGTTACAGTATCCCTTAATTTTTGCGAGAGGTGAGACTGGATGGCATGAAGGCATACAAAGAATTTTTAAAGATCAGCAGCCTGTACAAGATTTCATGACATGTCAGGGCCATGATATTCATATAGACCATTGTTCTTCTGCAGAGGAAATAATTAGAGCTGAGAATGCAGGTAATGAATAAAATATGATATGTCTTATGTATAGTCCTTGCTACTATCTTTTTCTCATCCACATAGTCTGTCATACCTTTTGACAACTTCATTGTCTTACACCAGTTTTGCAGAAAAGAAAGAAAAAAAGGAGCACTGTCTCTTGTCGTGAATACTATTACTACAAGTTTCAAATGCGCCTAATTGACAAATCCTTATTACTGCACTGTGGGAGACTCTTCCAGCAATTCTGTATCGATACATATGTCAAGATAGAATCAGCAAGGCTGGATTTTCATCGGAATAAGCAACGACAGATCAGAACAGATGTTTACCAAGAAATTTTAGACAGCATTTCAAATGGAGAAACCTCTACATCAAACATTGGTAAACGAATATATTTGCCTGCCTCTTTTATTGGAGGCCCTCGAGATATGAAACGAAGATACATGGACGCCATGACGCTGGTTCAAAAGTATGGAAAACCTGACATATTCTTAACAATGACTTGTAATCCAGCTTGGCCTGAGATCAAGAAGCATTTATCTAATGGCGAAGAAGCACACAACAGACCTGATGTAACATCAAGAGTATTTCGTGCCAAACTAGAGATGCTCAGAAATGATATTATCAAAAAAGGGCTTTTTGGCAAAGTTGCAGCATACACGTATGTTATAGAATTCCAGAAAAGAGGCCTCCCACACGCACATTTTTTGATAATCCTTGCAAATGGATGGAAATTGGACTCACCTGAAGCTTATGATCGAGTTACATCTGCAGAATTACCGGATCCAGCTTCTTTCCCTTACCTCCATTCTGTTGTGGTTGCTCATATGTTGCATGGACCATGTGGAACAGCTAATAAAAACAGCCCATGTATGAAGCAAAATGGAAAATGCAGATTTGCCTATCCAAAGGAGTTTGCTGAATTCACAAGGCATAACAAGGATTCGTATCCTCTATACATGCGCCGTCATGATGGAAATACTGTCACAGCTCGTCACTTCCAGTTTGACAATCGTTGGGTTGTTCCCTACAATCCATACTTACTTGCCAAGTATGATTGCTACATCAATGTTGAAGTTTGTTCCACAATTGAAGCTGTTAAATATATTTACAAATATATCTACAAAGGACACTCAAAGATCCTATATCAGCTCAATGCAGCAGAGAGTGATGGAGCAGTTGACGAAATAAAAAATTTCCAATCTGGACGTTGGATATGTGCACCAGAAGCAGCATGGCGAATATTTGCTTTCGACCTCAGTAACTTGAATCCATCTGTCATGGCACTACAGATGCATTTAGAAGGAGAACAGTCAATGGTTTTTAATGAGGATGATATTCTGGAAAGACTTGCAGTAGATGAACGAATGTCACGAACTATGCTAACAGAATTTTTCCGGATGAACAGTGTAGATAAACATGCACAGGCCCTAAAATGTCTTTATAAAGAATTTCCTCAGCATTTTGTATGGAATGCAACCCACAGAATATGGGAACCGAGACAAAGACGGAGCACAATTGGAAGAGTAACTGCAGTGCATCCAACTCAAGGTGAAAAGTACTACTTACGGATGTTACTAATGCATGTCAGAGGGCCTATGTCCTATGAAAGTCTAAAACACATTGGTTCCAGAACAGCTTCAACTTTCAGAGAAGCTGCAGAAATTCTAGGCTTATTAAAGACTGATGATAGTGCAGAACAATGTTTACTTGAAGCTGTATCATTCCAGATGCCTTATACTCTCCGTCATTTGTTCGCTCTCATTCTGGTCCATGTAATACCTCCTAATCCAATGTTGCTATGGCAGAAATTTGAACCATACCTGTCTGAAGATATTTCTAGAGACAAGTCTTTATCACCTGAGCAGACAAAACTCAAAGTCCTCCAGCTCATTGACTCTCACCTGCAATATATGGGCAAACATCTTGCTGATTTCAACATACCTGTCCCTGACACTGATGCATTTTCCATTCAAAGAGACACACAAGAAATAGAGGCCGAGCTCGACATCAAAGTTTCTGCTGAAGATACAGCATCAGTTGCTCTTCTCAATGATCATCAACGATCTGCTTACAATAAAATCATCGATAGAATTGACAATAACATAGCAGGAGCTTTTTTTATAGATGGGCCAGGAGGAACAGGGAAAACATTCTTATATAAAGCCTTACTAGCAACTGTCAGGTCTAAAGGCCAAATCGCATTAGCCACAGCATCATGCGGTGTTGCTGCTTCTATTCTTCCAGGAGGACGTACAGCTCACTCTCGATTTAAGATTCCAATTCATGAGGATAATGACAGTGGCTGTAATGTTAACAAACAAAGTAGCAGTGCAAGATTAATCAAACAAGCCAAGCTCATCATCTGGGACGAAGCAACAATGGCCAAAAAATATGCTATTGAGTGCTTTGACAAGCTACTAAGGGATAAAATGGACTCAGATACAGTATTTGGTGGCAAGGTTATCGTATTTGGTGGCGACTTTCGTCAGACATTACCTGTTGTCGTCAAAGGGTACAAAGAAGATTACATTTCTGCCAGCTTGGTAAAATCTTATGTTTGGAACCATCTTGAAAAACTCTGCCTGGTTGAAAACATGCGTGCACATTTAGATAAACCATTTTCAGATTTTCTTCTGAGTCTTGGTAATGGAACTTTACCTTCCTTTGATGACTCGAAAATAACATTGCCACACTATCTTACAATACCTTTTGTTGATGATCAATCTTCACTTTCTGCTCTGATCACCAGTGTCTTTCCTGACCTCACAGCATTTGGTACACACTCATTGCATACACTTAACAAAGCTATACTAACTACCAAAAATGAATTTGTGCACGAGATAAACAACCTCCTGATCACAAAGTTTCCTGGTACAGAACAGAGATATGTAAGTTATGATGAAACTATAGACCAATCCAAACAAGCAGAACACGAGGACTTTTTACATTCATTAGAACCTCCAAGCCTACCACCATATGAACTCATTCTAAAAGTCAATAGTCCTATTATATTACTTAGAAACTTGAACCCAAAAGAAGGTTTATGTAACGGAACACGACTAATCTGTCTTGATTTCGCTCCCAATGTTATCCATGCACTCATTGCTGTGGGAAATCATACTGGAAAGCAAGTCTTTATCCCAAAAATCTCATTACAGTGTTCTGACAGTAACATTTACATAGTACCCTTCAAGAGAACACAATTTCTAGTCAGACTTTGTTTTGCCATGACCATTAATAAAGCACAAGGACAAACACTCGACTTTGTGGGCTTGTACTTAAAGGAACCAGTATTTGGTCATGGTCAGTTGTATGTTGCTTTATCTAGAGCTAAAACAGCAAATGATGTTAGAGTTTTAGTTAAGCCCTCTCCAGATGAGCAGACTGACAGAGTTTCTACAAGAAACATAGTATACAATGAAGTCCTATCAATTGCTGGTGTTATTTAAGTACTGTCTCTCTTTAGCTTCTATCATTAACATTTAACTTTAGCTTTATTCGCTTGCTGCTTATAATACACAAATATTATTCTCCTCTCTTAAATTATGCGTTTTATATTAACATTTTAGATCCCATTTCATTCACATTACCATTTACTTTTCTCAATAATATTGTCGCTCCCACGCTCTACCTTGTAGTCATGGATAGCAGATGCATTTTAATAAAAGACTTCCAGGAGAAACAGCGCCAATGGTTTGCCAAACTTTATGTAATAGAAGTGACAAGAATCTTTGACCCGACTCCAAGAACAAAGGCATACCGACGGCTCTTATTTGCAGATGATCAGGTACATATATATCTGTAACATATACAATAAACCAGTACTTAAGTTTGCTATAAATTATACAACAACATTATATTCCATTATCTATCTATATACCTGTAACCTACAATTTATATTTCACAGAATGACACGGTTCAAGGCATCATCTATCAACAAGACCTGGCTTTCATTGGCGAAATATTCAAGCTCCAGACATCATACTACGTTGGTGGTGCATATATCAGCAAAATTCAAGATTCCCGCCACCAAATGGGTACAACACCTCTTCAGCTAACCTTTGACAAAAGGTCCTTCATACAACCAGCTGCAAGTCCTTTACCAATGTCATTACCAACGTATTTTCCACTCACTTCATTCTGGGACCTGGACCAATATCAAGGCAAAGATGACCAAAGACTCAGTACACAACACATCCCTTCTAACATTTATTTTATATAAATCATTAGTTTATGTCCTGTTTTCATTTTTATTAATACTAACCATTCAACAGACATCATGTGCATTGTCATTCAAGCATTACCTCAAAGACTGATTGCTGGAGCCAAGCCATCAATTATCCAAGAATTCATTGTTGTCAATGAAGAGTAAGCAAAACAAGATTTTATACACTTCATCTTACCTATTCATCAACAGGAAATGATTTAAACTTTCATTCTATTTCTCTAACTTTTACAGACAGCGTCCACTTATCCTCACACTCTAGGAACCTTTTGTTGACAATGAAGGAGCTCAGCTTCTTCAAATTGCACATACCTACCCAATTGTTGTGATTCTCAGGCCTATAGTAACCACCTTTTATGGTACATTTTGCAGAACAGAACCATTTCTTTCTATATTACAAAACCTACAAACCAAATATTCTAACACAGCTTTGATATCCTTACAGGCATCTCTCTCAGGACCAAAGGAAGTACAAATATACTCCTTGATCCCCCATTTCCACAGATCAGCACCTTGGCAGAATGGTATGCATGCTTTCACACTCAAACTTGCTTGTCTATTACTTACATTTCTATATAACCATGACTCAATAATGCAAATCAGTAAATATATTACTATTACTACCACTGCTTGCTACAGGATTGAAGAAAACAAGAACTACATTGACAAGATAAAAGCACAAAAACTGTACGAAAAGGCAAACCAAAAGATCAAGCCACCACCTGAAAAAGATATTCGACAGATCTCACAAATTCTTGGTGCATACATTCTGGTAAGCTAATACACTAACTTAACTCCAACCATCAAGTTTGCTTTATATTCAAATACTACCATTATAGACATGTATCAAACTCACTTTAAATTATATATGACCAGCCAAAAGATTTCTGGATAAAAGGAACAATTCAGATTACGAATTCTCGCCAACACTTCTATATTGCTAGCTGTGCCGACTGTGGTTGTACCACCAATGCACCTATGGACTTTGAATTCTCATGTCACAATTGTAACAAGAGTCAAACAAAACCTATCCCCAAGTAAGTCATTATCCCATTCACAGCAAAAAACACCTCTTATTTATCACACTTACACATATATATATCTCTATATCTATATATACATATATCTATCCATCTGTCTAAAAATGTTTCTATAAACACACAAATCTACAATTATCCATTTTCATATATTAACATATCATTTTTCTATTATACATCTCCGTCTACATTAGTATATTACTTGTCATCCCTAACACACTAAAAAATTCTCTAACACAGGGCCAGACTATTTGTCCAAATATCTGATGATTCAGCTCATTTGGATGCATTTGTTCAAGACAGTTATGCTGAGAACATAATTGGGCTCACAGCAACACAAATCTATGACCAGATAGCATCTGTGAGAATCACTAAATTACACAAACAAATTTTTACAATAGTTCAGAAATATATACAATAATCCAAAAAAACTCTCTTTTCTTATTCTCCTCAGCAGGGACAAACAATTCCAATTCAAACAATCAATGATAGACTCTTTGCACAACCTGTCTACTGCCAACTAAGGACCAGCTCCAACCGTTCCACTCCACAGGGATTGCCAAGCTTCTTTCTCTCCTCATATGTTGCTGTCTCCCAACAATCTGTCCCTGCAATTGAAGCTAATCCACATGAAGAATCATCCATCAGCACTCTCACAAGTCCATCCATCACATATTTGACATCTGAAAAACAATCTGCTGAACCTCCAAGCAACAAGACAGAGCCAACACCAACTTCAAAGCTGACAGATTCTGAAATCACTACCACAGACACCACATGCACACCAACATCTTCTGCTAAACGCAAGCTACAACTGGAACCTGAAAAAGATAGCAAACAGCCAAAACAAGGTTAACAATGTAATCTTATCTAATAAACAGCTCTTTTGAACCAACGTTCCATAATCTCTGTTAATACCTTTAGACTATATCTTTTGCCACAATCTGTTCCACCTCTCTTGTATCTCTAACTGCAACTTTTGTGAGCATCGTTAACAATCTAATGTTGTATAAAAAATGCTCCTTTCAACCAATAGTGTACAATCTCTGTTAATACCTTTACAGCATATCTTTTGCTAAAATATGTTTCAGATTTCCTCACCTCTCTGCCTGCAAGTTCTGTGAACATATATATATCCATGACCTATTCTACGAACAACTCTGTCTATTCACATATTATAGCTGAATGCATATCTGAATTTTGTAGTTATTCAAGTATAATGGCAGTGGTACCAAGGATATATTCTTTCTACATTCGTGTTTTTGAATATCAAAGCTGTATATTCAGCTTTTGCAGTGGCAAGAAATACAATAATGTGGCCTGGTTTCATATCATGTTCCTCGATAAAGACATTCCAGTTGTTTGTGATATATTTCCCTTCTACGATCGTTGAAATCGTTTTGCAGCCTGTAGTGAGCTTAAGAACTGCTGTCCGTTCTGGATTTATTCCTTGTCTCAAGGGTTTGGGAATTTTCTGCAAAAAAATTGAGAAATAGCCTCAATGTATCTGATGTGTTTTATGTTGTCAAAAACTCTGTCTTATCAATGTGCTCAAAAATGGCAAAATTACCAATTGCAATCTGTCCTCGATCGAGTATACATGGTAAAAAGCTATGTTTTTTGTCAGTGCTTGGTGAAAGTTCGGACTTAATGATGAGAAATAGGTTCTATGTATTGCTGAACCTCCAGCTGGGTCTGAAATAGATGAATGGATAAAATTGTTAGCACACAGTTAATTATGCAAACAGTTCATAGTTTTGTAGACAAACATGGTCTTACCTCCGTTCACAGGAAATGGATTCGTGTTTGTTGCTGAGAAAGCAGCTGTCCATGGTAAATAATTTTCGAATTGGTGTTCATTAAATATTATTGTATCGAAACTGTTTTGTGTATCATATAAAAATAAAATTAGATAATAGTTTTGTATATTATTATCCATTATATATGCATTCCACCCAGCTGTCAAATCTCGTCCCTGCAATTGGATTTGCCATTCCCTATGTCCATGCTTCAGAAATATTGTCGTTTGAATTTGTTGTTGAATAGCATTAAAGAACGACATTGGAATTTTCTGTAAATATCATAACGTCATATACTTATGTCAAACATTTCTCACAAAAAAATTATGAATATGGGTTCAATGAGTACCGGATTCAACGTGCTGTTCTGCCGTATTACAAAGCATAATTTTGGAGTTGGCTCTTCAATCTGATGTCTTGTCGACGAAGCCGTATCTGTAGATGATCAGGTTTTCAGTAAGTATAATAGAATTTATTCTATTTAGCATAATCTTATATATAAACTGTTATTCAAGGAGTAAGAACTTAGACAAAAACATACCTGATAGAATCGCATCCATACTACCATAGGAAAACTTTCATGAATAAACAATATCAAGGGTTAAAGCTCCTTTTATAGCTCTACTTCCTCATTTTGTCGGCCTATTTGTTTTCAATATTTATGAATAGTCAAATTCTCATCAACATTTTAGTTATTCTCTTTGCAAATTTGTTCCTATTTGATACTATATCTATTGAATATTTTATTGTTATTTCTTTGATTTTTGTCACTATATTACAAATGATACAATCATCAACGATACATATGGCATATAATGCACATGTACATATAATTGCTTTTTTCTGCTTGGAAACCAAATAATTGACCTGCTGGTCTCATATTTTGTTTGATATGATAGTTAGTCATTACTCACGTGAATATCTATCATGCTGTTTTTGAATATATATACACCATTTCTTCTTTATCTATTCTATTACGTATACCATATTTTTGTTTCTTGCTTCTTGTCTCTACATATTCGTTGTTATCTGTATATTACCAAAGTATATATATAATGCTTAATTTATTTCTTGATTTTTGCTAATTTAATTACACACTTACTAAGCAATTATCCACTAAATAATCACAAATTCACTAACTAAATTGTTTAATGATCAATTACTAACAAAAAATAGTTTGGTAGCTAACCAATAGTTTAGAGACCACTAAAATTTTGTACCCTAATATTTATTTATTTGTAAATAACTAACAACCAATAAACACGCTCATTTAATAGTATGGTCTTTGACTCATTTTTTGCAACTTTCTGTAAGCCATGTCCTTTCGTCCTTTGTTTGTTAAACACCCCCAGCGCATAACAAAATTTACCATCCCCAACACCCCCATC